TTTTTTTTTTTATTAAGAAAATATTACAATCTGTATACATAATACAATAAGTAAAAATGACTGAACAATGTGTTACAACGCATGAATATCGTGCATGAAGAAGGAGCCCATTGACACCACTTCAAAATAAAAGAATAATAATTAAAATTGTGAAACTAAATTTGTGCTAAAATGAGTTAGAGAAGGTCTCTAGCCCAGTTTCTTTTGAGTCGACGTAATGGGTTAATAGGGTTAGAGGGATTATGGAGATTAGATATTAGAGGGTTAGGATGGTTTTGTGTGTCACTGTGGAATTTTTTAAAATAGCAAGAAGCAAGTTCAGGAAGTGTTAGAATTTTTAGGTCTTTGTGGAGAGTTTGGTTACTAACATACCACGGTGCTCCTGTTATAATTCTTAGGTTAATTGATTGAAAGGATTGAAGGATAGAGATATTTGATTTTTTCGCGGATCCCCAAATTTGAATACCGTAGGTCATGGCTGGGCGTATGATTTGTTTGTATATTAGTAGTTTTATATTAAGTGGCATATTAGAACGGAGAAGATGTCTCAGAGAATGGAGACGTAGGTTTAATGATTTTCGTTTGTTTTTTATGTGGTAGGCCCAATTTAGTTTTTTGTCTAAATGGATGCCTAAATATTTAGTGTAATCATGTTGAGGAATTATGTTGTTATTTATCGATAAAGGAGGGCCATTGGTGGAACGGAGAGTAAATGATACGTGGGAGGATTTTCCTTCATTAATTTTTATTCTCCATAATTTGAACCAAGTTTGGAGTTTGTTGAGATGATCTTGGAGTGATTTTGTTGCAGAATTAGAGTCAGGATTGGAGGATAGTATGGCAGTGTCGTCTGCAAATGTAGCGAGATGTGTATTATTTGAGTGTGGAATGTCTGAGGTAAATATATTATAGAGGGTTGGGGCTAGGATGCTTCCTTGAGGTATACCTGCGTTAATAGAATGAATGTTGGATGTTTCGTCATCGCAACGTACGGCAAACGTGCGTTGTGATAAGAATGACTTTAACGTGAGGTATAAGGGAGCTGGAAGAAATCGAAGTTTATAAAGAAGTCCTTCAGTCCACACGCGGTCGAACGCCTGTGCGACATCAAGAAATACTCCTTCACAATGATTAAGGGAATATTAAAAATAAAAATATTTTCTATGGAAGAAAAAATACAAAATTTACCTTTTTCTCTCATTAATTAAATATTATACAACTTAATTTTTCTTCCATTGGGAATATTTTATCTTGTAGATACCATTTTATAAACACTGAGTAGGAAAGCTAATTCTACTTGTTAATGTGTCTATAGTCATTTTTCGTGAGAGTTATACTTCTAGCGTTTTTAGCGAATTATTCTATTATTTTTAAGGAAATTAAGAAGCAGTTTCTGTACAGTTTACGCATTTAAATAATTGTTTAAATAATCTAAAAAAAACGGTAGCACAGTGTGGACGAGACATAGATGGGACGAGTATAGATGATATCTGACAGTGATTAAAATCACTATCATAAGAAACACTTCGATGCAAATCAGTAGATGTTTAATTCTAAGAAATTGGTGGATGATTACTAAAGCAACATCAACTCTTATTCTATTAATTATATCCTGATTAGTCGTTCTTTGATTTTAAAATATAATATATGAATAAATACCAATTTTAGTTATTAAATATAGTATGAAATTGATATTCAATAATTTAATATTGTAATTTATACGGAAAAATTATAAAAATAATAAAGTAGTAGTATATTGCTTTACTTTTACGTGTATAAAAATTTAAAGGGTTTGATGAAATATTTTTCAATAAAAACTGTTTGTTACTGTAAATAAATGAACTGGACTACAAGGAACTTTCATCAGAGCAAAAATATACTTTTCTAAATCAACTTTTCGCGTTGTTTTCAAATCTGCAAATAGATTTTTTCTATCACTTCTAATTTTTTGTATTACTACTAATTACATATAAAATAATAATTAAAAAAAAAATTTATTTTCAAATTATTACTGATTTTGATTTTTAATATGTTAAAAATAATCAAACAACATTTTAATTTTTAACCTATTTTTTTGGTCCTTTAAAGTTGATGAAAAATTTTTGATAAAATTTTGTGAAAAAAGTAAAAAAAAAATTGAATATGTTACTATAACTATTAGCTCAATTGCAAGTTTAAAATTGACATGATTAAATAGACAAATTTATGAGAATTAAAAAAAATGGTATTTTTATGATTAATATGCAGTCAGGAAATTTTATAATTACTATTTACAGTATATTTATCAGGAATGCTTATTATTTTTTGCATTTTTATCGTAATAGATAACTTAATTAGAAATAATACTAATCATTTCCTAATAACTTTTGGTATTTAAAAAGATTCTATAATGGAAATATGAACTGGACTAATTTCAATGATTTACTTCAACTAAAATAACTAATCAAAAAAAGTTGTTAAAAAAATCAAAAAATCCATTGTCAAATTCAGGAGATACTAACAATTCTTTTTTTTAGTATTGATTATATAGCAACATGTTATCAAAATATTTGGAATATCATAGTCTAATAGTAGCACACACAAATAGAGTAAAAAAATTATTAAATTTCATAGTAAAATTATTTAATTTTGTAATTGAAACCTATCATATGGAACTTGATTCGTCAATAAATACTTTGAAAACATTACAAATGAATAGTTTTAATTGTCTGTACGGAGAATATGAGATAACTAACTGTTTAATTGATAGATTAGAATTTTGTTTCAAGTTTTGAGGGTAATATCTTCAACTAATTGTAATCATTTGACGTATCATTGAAAAATGAAGGTCAAGTTAGAGCAGAGAAAATAAATGATAGTCACAAAAAAATACCTTCTCAGCTTTGCATCAAAGCTAAAACCTAAAATATAGTAAAATAATTTTAATATGAATAAGAAATTTTTTCAATTTAAGCTAGTTTAAATTTCAAAACTATTTTCAACTAAAAAAGGCAAAAAAATGTAAATAAATTTAACTATCTATGCTATATCAATTTGATTTATATAATATTTATGAAAATCAGTGTACTCCCCTTGACAGGTATTTTAAATTAAAATAAAATATGATATCAAGAATTTCAACACAAAAATTGAATATTTTTGAATATGGTAGTCATTTTCACCATGAAGACAAATCCATAGGTCAATTTTTTTTTTCAAAATAAATTATATTACATAGACTTTAATTAAAGGTATATATAAAAGTGTCAGTATTTCCTAAACATATTCAAAAGTTAAGTTGAAAAAGTTCTACTTTCTATACGCATTTTTAAAGGTTTGCGCCCCCCCCTGTATAAAGGAAAATGGTCCGATTAAAAAAAAAGGATGTCAAATGAGAGAGGAATATATAAAATATTTATCATTAAAGAATAGAAATAATAATAATATTAGTATAATTTTAAATATAATAAGCAAAAAAATAAACTATAAAATGTATAAACAAGAAAATATGTGATTAAGAAACATAAAAACAGAAATATAACAAAGAGTTTAAAGTTATAATAATAATAATAAATTAACTAAAAAAAATTTAATAGAAAAAGTAGAAATTTCAAGGCAAACATAATTTCTCTAAGTTTTGCCATATGGCTCTATGAACTGATTTACACCTATTTGAGATTTTAAATTTAATTGAGGCAGAACTTTAAGAACAACGTTCACCTGTAAACCTATATACAATAACATCTAATGTATTTGTTTTTATTTTGTATTTGTACGCTCGTAAACGGATAATTAAAAAATAGATCCTCAGGATATTCCTGAAGGCTGTCATGCAGAATTTCTGGTTTTTTAAAATGGTTAATAAAATATAGCGCCATCTATCAGTAAAGATATTAGTACTAATTATTTTCACGGTAACCATTATGATACCGAATTTCGTAAATGATAAGAAGTTAGTGGTTTAGAAATAAGTCACTTCACATTCGTTTGGAAACGTAACCGTCCATTTCATTTCATATTGAATTATTGTAATCTAATATTTTTTTTATAATTAGAAGATATCGATTCTAACTTAATCAGATTATTATAACAACTAATATTTTTATGAAAGTCTTTAAGTATACATGATATAAAGTACTGGATACCAAATAGCTAGGAAGAAATCTTATTTTAATTATTTCATTGAGTTTAATTCTCATATAATTTTAAACATGGTTACTTGGGTACCTTTAGAATCAAACCCTGAAGTAAGTAGAAATTATAGAATTTATCAATATCTCATACTGTTTTATTTTAGCAATAATATTATTAAATGTTAATGAAAAATGTGCCATAATATTTTTGTGAAGTTATTTGTTATAAAAATAGTTCATTACAATAGAATTTAATACTTGATATCGAAATAAATTTTCAAATCATTAAAAGGATAATGACTTCATTTATTTATTTTACACTTTTGGTATCATAAGGCTTTATATTCTTCTGGATTTAAACAAAAAATAGTGCTATAATATCTTGAGCTGCAATATGTAGAATAAATTTAATAATAATTTAAAAGAAATATCCCATTATATTATACCTCATTATAAAGTGAAGAATTGTAAATATTAGAAATTGAAAATGTACAAAATTAGGTATATCTCGTTTGATATATTCAAAAAAATATTCAATCTGTTGTAATACCTAAAAATGATAAAACAAATGGTATTTTTTAATGTATTCACAAATATAATTTTTGAAAAATAACATTTTATATTTTCTGGTGTTTTTAGGGCTGTTCTTAAGATTTGTGAGGCCCAAGACAAAATAATTTAAATATAATTTATCTTATTTATTTCACTAGCGCGACACCCTAATTAAACATATAGAAGTGTGAGACCTAAGCCCTGTTATCCCTCCCTTAGAACAGTCCTGGATATGTTATTTTAAGAATAGTGACATATCTAAGAAGGGATTGGTTTTTTTATAGGTTACTATTTTAATAAACAAATTTCTTCTTTCATAATCAGTTATATAATATAGTAGAATTATTTTAATAGAAGTATAGAAATATTTTATTTCATCTTTGTAATTATACTTTATTTGATCATTTATACTATGAGCGATGGTAAATTTTTTTTGAAAAATCATGTTTGGTTTGATGTAATAATTATATTAACATAAATATGAAAATAAAAAATAGGGATATAACATGCATTTGGACCCTGTTACTATGTAAATTGTTGTATTTGACAGGAATTGTGATTTTGTCCATTAAAAATAGTTTAAATGTGACATTAATTGATATTTAAAAAACATTGTTTAAGTTTAATTGTAGTTTCTTAACATTCATTTTAATTTAATTTTTTTTTCAGGTTATGAACAAGGTATGGTATTCATTCAATTTTAAACAATATGAAATGATAAAGTTCTATGTATAGTCATTTAATTTAATAGTTTTTTACTGATTACTTTTTAGTTAAAGCTAGATAACTTATGCAAATTTCTTTTATTAAATAAATTTCTTTTTAAAATAGTTTATACATTTTGTATGTAGTTTTTGTATCAATTGGGAGTTCCTGAAGATTGGGGAATGTTTGACATTTATGGTTTTGGTGCAGAAGAATTAGCAATGGTACCTAAACCTGTCATATCCGTTATTATGTTATTCCCATTTAATGATGCTGTATGTACTTAATATTTGATCAATTTTAATCTTACGTTTCAATATATATATATAAATATACTTTATTAAAGTATGAAAATCGAAGGCTTGAAGAAGAATCATTTATAGAAAAAAAAGGTCAAAATGTATCTGAAAATATTTACTATCTAAAACAATATATTCATAATGCTTGTGGTACAATTGCTTTAATCCATAGTGTAGCCAATAATAGAGACAAGTAAGTTATGGACATAAAAGATATAGTTAGAATTAAAATTTTCATTAGGACTATCTTAGAATTACATAATTGAACTAGACATTTATATGGTTATTTAATAGAAATATTTATTTAACTTGTTAGAATTCAGCTTAAAGATGGAATATTGAAACAGTTTTTGGATAATGGAAAAGATATGTCACCTTCTAGTCGTGGTGAATTATTATTAAAGGCAGAAGATTTCAGCAATGCTCATAAAGAAAGTGCTTTTGATGGTCAGACTGCAGTAAGTAATATGTTTTCAAATATAATATTTTTTTCTTTAACATTTGTAATATTAATTTCTTAATGTAACTAGGCACCAGATCCAGCTGATGCAGTTCCTTATCACTTTGTATCGTTTGTATGTAAGGATGGTTATCTTTATGAATTAGGTAATGAAATGTCAAACATAAAATTTAGTGAACAATTTTTTTATTTTTAGGAATATTTTTAACTGAATTATTTATAATGTATTAAGATATTTTGAAACTATTATCCATAACAGTGCTATTTTAAATAATTTTAAAGTTTAAAAAACGAAAATTAATTTTTGGACAAAAGAAGTTTACTTAGATAATGAATGTGTTAAATTAAATTTTTTCTTTGGCATCAATAAAATAATGTATATTGTTGAATTTCAAAGTCGTATTTACATTAGTTTGTATGGAATTAAAACATTTTAAATGACTCTTGATAAATTATTAAAATATATATAATTTGGCACTAATCTCACTTATGTGTTGTGTGATTTTTGGCTACTTGTTAAGGTAAGAAATGATAAAAAAGTTAATTAAAAGTTTAATCATTTTATTGTACTTTTTATATTATTTTATAGATTTTATAAGATAAATATACAGCCCAACAATCATGATAAAGTTTAAATATTTTTCATTATACATATTATGTAAAATCAAATTTTACCCTTATGGTAAAACTTGAAAAGAAACACATAATAAAATTTTGGTTACATAAAGCATATTAGTGTATACTTTCTATTTATGACTAATTTTTAATGGAGAAGATTTTATTAAAAGTGTTACTATTATAAACAAATTTCTTATTAGACAATATTTTAAGGTTTTTTACTTTTTATAAATATTTATTTAATAATGACACTGTACTTTGTATTTAGAAAATTAAATAAAATTATTTGATATTTTAATAAGAAAAATTTTATTTTTTCAAAAATAAATGTGTAATTTATAAATAATTTGTTTATTAAAACATATTCTTTGGATAGCATTACATTATTTTCTTTCTGTTAAAATTTTACTTATTTATAGATGGAAGAAAATTTGAGCCTATCAATCATGGACCTAGTACTCCAAAAACATTACTTGAAGTATTATGAACTATTTACATAATTTTTGTAATCATTTAATTACAACTCATGTATAATTTTCTTGTAGGATACTGTAAATGTTGTTCAAGAAAAATTTGTTGCTCCAGAATCTGGGAACATTCATTTCACATTATTAGCATTATCTAATTGCAGTGAAGATTAAAAAATTAAAAAAGTGTGTTTATAAATTAAAACTAAAAATTATTGTCAAACAAATGTCTAATTTTTATTTTATACTTATAAATCTTATATTATTATATAAATATAGTTTTCTTAAACATTTTTTATTTTAATTATTACAACTCGATACATTATTGAACTATCATAACAATAAAGCATATACTTAGAGCTAATAATTTTTGATGATGCCTATGTCTCTTGCGTTGATTATATTATCCATCTTTATTCAAAGTTTTCTTTTATTTTTTGTGGTGATTTCAATTTGCCAGAATTTAATTGGTTTAATGACACTAGTGGAGTTATATATTCTTCTCTTTTACCTTCTCGTTTCTCCTGTATTTCTGAAACACTTGCTTTTCATGGTTTCTATCAGCATAACTGTATTTTAAATTCACATGGCTCACTTTTAGATCTAGTGTTTAGTAACGTTCCTGACATATCAGTTAGCTTGGCTCCTGAGCTATGTGTTCCTATTGACCCTTATCACCCTGCTCTCAATCTTTCCATTCTAGTTACTAACCAGTTCTCTAATTCCTCTACCCAAAACTTTCTTTAACTTTAATTTGGCTAATTATCTGAGTATTGCACAATTTTTAAACTCCTGTAATTGGAAGTCAACTTTTTCCTCTTTAAATGTGGATCAAGCAGTAAATAGCTTCATGGATGCACTTCACTCTTCAATATTACAATTCGTTCCTCAACATAAATCTCATTCCTCCATGGTTTAACTTTGAATTGAGAAACCTTGTTTTTGAAAAAAGGTATGCTCATTATAAATTTAAAAAAACCCCTTCTCTTGTTAACTATCGTCATTTTTCACAAATACCGTGCACGCTATAAATATCTTTCTAAGAAAAATTTTCGTTCATATTCTGCTAAAGCTGAAATTTCCCTTTTTACAAATCCTAAATTCTTCTGGAAATTTGTACGTAAAAATAAATCTTTTGTTCTTCCTAATTGCGTTAGTTATAATGGCGCAGTTTCTGATAGTACACTGTCTACGTCAAACATGTTTTGTAAACATTTTTCCTCAGTCTTTTAATCCGGTGATCCAACTCAAGTTGTGAATTATCGTCCTATTGCTAACCTTTCTCATTTATCAAATCTTTTTGAGTCCCTTGTCTTTCATTCAATTAAATCTAGTACTAATAACTTTTTCTTTGATGAACAACATGGTTTCCGTCATGGTCGATCTGCTTTAACATGCAATCTTGTATTTCAATCTTTCATTACCTATTATTACCTTACCTTGTCCATGCTCAATTAGATGTCACTTATATTGATTTTTCAAAAGCCTTCAATAAACTTAATCTTAATATCCTGTCTGAACTTCTATTCCACGCTGGTTTTGGTGAATCACTCCTCTCTTGGTTAATTTCATATTTAACTGATAGAAACCAGTGGGTAAATGTTCAAGGTTGTGTTTCTGAAGTCATAACCCCCTCCTCCGGTGTTCCACAAGGTTCAATCCTATCTTCCCTTCTTTTTTCCATTTTTGTAAATGGCGCTAATTCTGTATTACAGCATGCTAAAATACTTCATTTTGCTGATGACTTCAAATTATTTATGCGTGTTACTAATAGTTCCGATATTATTTTACTTCAAACTGATCTAGATCGCTTAGTTAGTTGGGCTGAATCAATTGGCTTGACTTTTAATACCTCTAAATATCATAAAATGACTTTTTTACGTATTTCTAATCCTATATCTTCAACTTACTATATTCATAACCATCTTATTTCTTCTGTACCTTGTATAGTTGACCTTGGGTTTCGTCTCACTCCTACTTTAAATTTTCGACTTCATATTGAAGAAGTATGTTGTAAGGCTCTGAAACTTTAGGTTTCATTCAGAGAATTTCTCAAGAATTTCACCTCTCAAGACCATTAAAAACCCTTTTTTGTTAGCTGGTTCGCCCTATCCTTGAGTATGGTTCGGTGTTATGGGATCCTTATACAGCTACCGACTCTATGATGCTTGAAAGAGTGCAACGTAAATTTTTACGCTTTGCGACTCATATCCTTAATATCCCCCATCCATCTCATGACTTAACTTCTATTCAAAATTTCTTACAACTTCCATCGTTATCTGATAGAAGACATGACTCTAATATCTGTTTCCTTTCTAAACTCTCAGCTGGCTTGATTGATTCTCCTGTCCTACTTTCTAAATTGAACTTTCGGGTACCTGCTCGTTCAACTCGCTATACTGCCCCTTCCCTCATTCCTCATTCATCTTCTAATTATATTTTTCATTCCGCTCTCCCACGTTTAATGCGCATTGCAAATAATGACCCTGATTTTTTACATTCTTTTCATTTTTAATGTAGTTATTTAGCCTTCCTATTTAATATTTAAATTTTTTATTATGTTCAAATTTTTCTTTTTCTCTTTGTCAAACTTAAGTTTATTATTGTTTCATTTTTATTAATTGGATAATTATTAGATAATTTTAAGTTGTCCAGTTAACTGTCTAATACATATTATATTTTTTGGGCTATAGCCTGTATAATTTATAATAAATAAATAATTACAAAAGCAACATCAACTTCTATTTCCTTAATTATATCCAGATTCTTATTCTTAGATTCAAAAATATAATTTTTTAATTATATATTATATAGTTTTTAAAATTAATTGTTTTCAAATTATTATTGATTTTTATTTTTAATATGTTAAAAGTAATCATTTTTAACCTACTATTTTTGTGAAAGTTAATTATAAAAAAAATTCAATTTATTGATTAAGCTCAACTTGCAAGTTTGAAATTGACATCATTAAATAGTAAAAAATTGTATTGTTAAGATTAATATGGAGTCAGCAAATTTTATAATATCTAATTAAGGTAAATTTATCAGAGAAGCTCGATTTTTTTTGCATTTTTATCGTAATAGATCACTTAAATAGAAATCATAGTAATCATTTCTAATTAACTATTGGTATTTAAAAATATTCTAAAATTGAAATATCCAAAACTGAATTAATTTTAATGATTTACTTTAACTAAAAAACCAATAAAAAAAAATTGTTAAAAAGATTTACTCAAATGAGTGTATTATAAAATTTGATTATAATTGTAAAAATACATTGTTAAATTGAGGTGAAACTAATAATCAATTTTTTTAGATATATTTATCGTTTGAGGTCTGGCTTATATTTATGAATAATATAAATAGAAAAAAAAATGATTCACTAATCTTAAAAACTTATACTTTTATTTAAAAATAAAATGTAAGCTAAAATATATGATACTCTTGAAAATATTTATAATTGACGGTTGATCATCAAATACTTTTCACAAATTATTATTATTATTTTTTAATTAATATTATAATATTAAAAATTATTTAAATAAAACTAAAAACGTTCAAAATTTTACTATTAAATTTATGTAAATATGTGACTTCACATAGGTTTGCTGATTTTTCATAATTTTTAATTAAATTAATACTGATATATAATTTTATCATAACATAAAATTATATTCTTATGTTATTTATTATATTTAGTATAAATGAATTGTTTGACAAAAAAAAATAATTGAAAAGAATTTAATGTCAATTTGATGAACAGTCATTTATAAATATTTTCAAGAATACTTAAATTGTTAGTTTTACAACAATCATAAATATTTTATTATTAAATTTTTGTTCATATCAAATCATGAGCTAATTATCTTATGGTTTAATACTGTAGAGTAGCTAAAAACACTTAATAATAGCCAATCTAATCAAAACGAATAAAATTGTGTCATAAAGTCTTCATATTTTTGTATTTCGTGGTTCTTAAGAAACAATAGTATTAATAATTATTAAAAATATAAAATATAATTAGAATTTTTTTGTTTTCTAGGTTTTTCAATTTGAAAAAAATTATGTATTTGAGATTTCAAATAATTCTGTCTTTAGTAAGAAAAATAAGCCCATAAATTACCATTATTATACTACCTGTTTTGTTTTATAAAATGGCAATTTTAAGTTAATACAATATATAATTTTAAATTTATAATAATATATCAAAATTGCAATTGTTGAAAACGTAAAAATAAAAAATATACATGAAAAGTATTTAATTTAAGTATTTATTAATATTTGCAAAAATATCATATACTTTAGCTTATACTTTATTTTTAAAAAAAGTATAAGATTTTAAGATTAGTGAATAATTTTTTTCCTACTAATAAGATACATAAATATCAGCTAAACCGTAAAAAAAAAAATATTAAGAAATGATAAACTTACTTGAGACCTACTATAAATATATCAAATAATGATGTTAATTATGATATCCACGTTATCAATTTTTTCCTTAAAATGTTTAAAACTAAAAAAATTGAATTCTACTATAAAAATCAAACTATTTTGATATACTTATAATATTTGACCAAAAATTGAATAACAGAGGCACTTTTTTGTTTTTTGGAGTGATTCTGATCAAAATAATAAAAAGACGTCGAGCGACCAGTAAATTTTTTTTTTAATTTTAAAAGTATCTTTGGTATTAAATTATTTATATGAAAACAATATAAATACTATACTTGTAGTAGTCCCTAATTTTGCACGTCTTGAACAAAACACAATTTTACACACTCGAGTTTAATATTAATATATTTTTTTCATTAAAATTAACTTAAACATTAAAAATTTTATTGTGATAAATACCTATATCGCATATGAATTATCCTACTAAAACTAAATTTATAAACATTACTAAAGAATTACTCAATAATATGATAATTAATTTTTCGACCCCGAGATACAACTTCATCTTTACCCCCTTTTTATTTTAACTGACACTCTACATCCTTTACCCTTACCCCTTTTTACCTTTTAATTTTTGTTTAATACACAGTGGTGCCCAAACTATTTTTTACAGGGGGGGGGGGGGCAAAAATTTGATGACTTAAACTAGGTCCCCTTAATTGTTACTAAACTAAAAAGCATGTTAAGCTATTTTTTGGTGGATTTTAGTGATCATATAAAAAAAATTTAATAAATTAATTCTTTTATAAATTTTATTCTTAATAATACATATTATTATCTTTGATGCGAAGCTGAGAACATATTAATTTTACCATGATGTGTTTATTTATTTACGTCATAGATCAAAAATCGTATCTAATCGAAGACATTACCCGCAAAAATTGAAAAAATTTCCCTTGTTCCCCGTAAATGGGGGAAACCTCCAAAAAAATTACAAATTTAAAAATCGCTAATTTTCCAAATGTTTTCAACTTTTTTTACTAAAAACTGCTGTAACTTTTTAAAAATGAATATATCAAAGTAATTTTTTTTTATAGACGCTTGATGTCTTTATCTATTATTCGGTATATATTTTTTGTACATTTGACACTTAACCTGCCCACATGGGGGGATTTAAAATGACAACTTTTTTACAAAAAATTAACTTTTTCAATTTGACTTTTGAAAATGTTCCGAAAGTCTGACACTTTTATATATATATTAAATTAAAGCTAATGTAATGTACATTATTATGAAAAAAAAAAATTTTGGACTTTATTTTATCTTCATGGTGAAAATGACTACCAAATGCTAATTTTGTGTGAAAATTTTCGATTTTGTATTTTACATTTTCAACTTTATTATGCTATAACTTTTTGAAAAATGTATGGATCAATACAATTTATTCATGAGCAGTAGTATTTATGTACATATTTCATTCGATTTACTGTTTTTTTTAATCGGATCATTTCTCTATATACGAGAGGGGTTCAAATCGAAAAAAATGCATGTAGAACTTTTTAAACTTAAATTTTGAAAGTGTTCTGGAATGTATATTAGAGTGGCCCTCAAAAATCGAATGTCTTTTTTTTTTACGCTACCCCTTAATTTTTTTTTAATGGTCAAAAAAATGAGCTGTGCAAAATTTGGGACCGATCCGTTAAGGTTAACCCGTGCCCCCGGGCCTATTAAGTTGAGTCGAAGAGTCAAATTTAATAGAAATAACTGATCTATGTCTCATAACTTTTTTTTCTCTTAACTTAGAATAATAAAAGTAAAACTCAAGTAAAGGAAATTTTACAAGAAATTCAAAAATAATAACTTCAATGTTGTTTTCTCAATAAATAGCCCACAAAAACACTACATACAGTAAAAAACATGTAAAAGTCTTAAAATACGTTATAACTGATTTTGTTGATTTTTAATTATTTATTTTCATTTTATTTTTTGGAAAACGCATATTCGTTTAAAAAAAGATTCTAGAAGTTTAATTTTTTATGCCAAGTACGATAATTATATTAGATTTATTATTTTATGGACAGTTAATTAATGATTAATTACAAACCTAACAGTTTAATTTAATTGTTATTAACAATTTTTAATTTATTTTTTTTTAAATAATAATAACTTTAAAAAAAATATTTTAACAATAATTAAATTATATTATTATAATATATTTTTTGATAATGTACTTTTTTTACAATTAGGAAATTTTTTCCGATAATTACTTACTATTTGTAAAACGTATTGTTTCTGTTCTTCATTTGTAGTTAATATATTAATGTAGTCTTAGATTAATTTAATGCCACGCTAGGCTGTATCATTAATGACTCGTAATTTACTTATAGTATTTAAAGCATTTATGTAACTGTTGTTCGCACTCCAAAATGATGGATCAATTTTCAAAAAATCTGTGTTCAGATTAAATAGTTGTAAATTTGATGGTATTTTACTACCAGTTATTTCGTGGGAATAATTACCAATAAGATAAATATTAGTTCGTAATACTTTAAAAGACGCTAAAAGTATTGTACATTCGTGATTAAAACGAATAATTTAATATATAATAATAAACATGTAAAATATATTTAACGTGTTCACAAATTGTGTGCTGCATTTATACGACACAAATTATGTCAGTTGTCGAAAATAACTCAAATATTCTTATCTTTAATAATAATATAATTGGTACTATCTTAAAGTAATTCAGTAAACCAAAATTGATGTATTGATACGACAAAATGTAATAATACAATCAATTTTGTTAAATTTGTAATTAATCATTAATTATTTAATAAAAAATTAAGGGGTAGCGTAAATAAAAAAAAGACATTCGATTTTTGAGGGCCACCCTAATGTATATGTAATATACTTAAATATAAAAAAAAAAAATGTTTGGACTTTATTTTGTTTTCACAGTAAAAATGGCTATCGAATTCTATTTTTGTGTGAAAATTCTCTATTTTATTTTTTTAATTTTTAACTAATAAATTTTTTAATTTATTGAAAAGTGTATGGATCAACACAAGTTTTTTATGAGAAATAATATTTTTTAATAATCCCTTTTTCATTCGACATACATTATCTTAATCAGGATATTAATAAGGAACTAGCAAATCATGTACCTTTTGGAATAATCCACCAATTTTTTAAAATTAAACATTATCTAAAGATTTGCATCGAAGCGTTTTTTTTTTTGATGGTGATTTTAATCATTGTCAGATATCATTATACTTGATCCAACTATGCTACGTCACCACTGTGCCGCGACCCCTCTGTACTGGCTTTTTTTTTCAAAAGTTATATAACTTATTAAAAATGAACAAATCAAAATAATTTTTTTTTTATGTTGAAACCTCATGCGTTTCCATTTTATTTGATATAATATTTTTGAAAATCTGATCCTTTACCTGCCCACGGAGGTTGATTCAAAATAGCAAAATTTTTACAAAACCCAACTTTTTCAACTTAACTTTTGAAAATCTTCCGGAAACACTGCATTTATAAAACATATGTCAAATTTAAGCCTATGTAATGTACTTAAAATTAAAAAAAAATTTATCCCGACGACTGATCTTCTATGTGCAAATGGCTGTCGTAATTAAAAAAAACATGCTAATATTTTGTTTAAATTTTATTATTTTTTGTTTATTTTAAAATACTTTCAAAGGGTTTTTCATAGTAATGAGTTCACCAATAAATATAAAATTTACATGAATCTAACTTACATTAAATATAAATTTATACTTATTTTGATAATTTTGCCTCTTCAAAGTTCAGAAAAAATGTTTTGAAAACTTGAATATTTTATGAAAAATAGAACTTTTTCATCTTAACTTTTGAAAATCTGCTTCTTTTAAATATATATAAAATAAAACTAATTTAATGTACTAGAAGTTCAAACAAAAAAAAATTTGTATCGACCACCTATTTTCTATGTACAAATGGCAGCCGAAGTAGAACAAAAAATAGGAGTTAATTTTGCTTTTGGAATAATCCATCAATTTCTTAAAATTAAACACTAGCTAAAGATTTGCATCAAAGAAAATTGGGTTATAAATTGGGTTATAAGCAATATTGGGGGGACATAATAATACTTTTGACACCATCGTATTTTGACCCTGGTTCCGGCGCCACTGGATGAGATACATTGTAAGTATGAGATATGTTAGTGTACTAAATACAAAATCCGTGTAACGAGATGTAGAAAAGTGATGCATTGTTGTAATAAAGACTTTTTTTATTATTTTTTAATTCTGTCCATTGTGATCCGGCGTAAAATATTGCGATTTAGGCAATCGCAAAAGAAACTTATTAGTTATTGGAGCTAAACACTTTATTTTTTTGGGGTGATATTATATTAGATAAATAATTAGTGAATGTAATAAACATATTTTATGTTATAAGCATAAAATATTATAAACAATTCTTGTAAATTATATAAATTTGATTACATAGTGAACCATAATACGAACAAAATCTATGAATTCGTTAAATTCGTTAAAGTTCGTTAAATAATTTAAATACTCGAAGCACAATGGATAATTTTTCATAATTCAACTGGTATAATAAAAACCACTAACCGTTCAAATATTATTTATTTTATTATTATTCGACACTCAAAATTAAATTTAGAATTTTATTAAGTTTAATGAAAACAATTATAAGTCATTTTGATGATTTATATATATATATATATATATATATATTATAGATGAAGCAATATTTTTTCTCGTCGATTACGATATTTAGTTATATTGTAGTCCGAACTAAATTGTTTGAACGACCACAAAATCTTAAGATTATGCTTAAATATATTTATAAAATATTCTAAAAATAAACTAAATCTTTCAAAGCTATCATTCAAGCCTATGTTGTCAGAGTTACTTTGAAAATCTTCTATTTTTTCTTTTTTTTCTTTGCTTATTTGAACTAATTTCATTAGTGTATTAGTTTTCTCAATTGAATTCATGTTATATATTTCGTTATTTACTTCTATTTTTAATATTTCAAAAGACTCAACTCTAAATACATTTTCTATCATGTCTGCAACATCTCCGATCATACTATTATTTATATGATCATAGTTTTCAAAGTAACTATCTGGTGTAAATCCAAACTTTGAATGGAACTCGGAAAATCTAGGATAAAACAAATCAAATGTATACTTATTATATTCCAAGAAATCGTACATTTGTGATAAATACTGAAACACAATTTTTTCATCCTTATTTCTTAAATACATTAGATACTTTCTAATTAAATGTAAAGTTACGACTCTAAAAATGTTAAAGATTTTATCATGATAAATTCTAATTTTTGAAATCCATATATCAAACCAATAATAATTCTTTGCAGCGTGATATGCTTTTTTAATATCTTTCATAATAACTTTGAAAGTTTTCTCACTCTGTTCACCGAAATCCATTATTATAGTTTTCAACATATCTGTATTTTGAATAATATCGTGAAGATAAATTATCTTAAGAGAAACCCAATCTTCTACTTCTTCACCGTGCAGTAAAATATTATTAATATTCTTTCTATTTACCATTACTGTCTTTACTTTTTCTATCATTGAGATTTTCTCTTTTTTTTCTAGTGCGTAAAATTCAGCTGTTATATTGTATTTATTATTTTTTCGACAGTTTTGAGTTGTATATAACAATAAAGAATCCTTTATTTTTTCTAGAATTCTCGTAACATGTAATTTCTTCGGTAATATATTATCCTTCGTTTGGATTTTTACATAAATAGCAAACATGTACATTATCCAAAAAGGCTTTAATATTTCTGTTAGTATATCTACCTTTAGTTTTTCAGCTAGCATTTGTTGAATAATTGATTCGTTCAACAATAAATGATCGTATTCATAAGTAGAATCATATTCTATTAAGGATTGTATAGAGTTTATGTATTGTAAAAAATTATATAAATCACCGCAATAAAGATCGTAGTAGATAATATCTGGTTTGGTATACAAACTAATTTCTGGGTCATCTTCCTCCTTTATCATATCTACAAAATCATCTAAATCCAATTCAAACATTTCAGGGTTAGTATTATAAGAAAATCCAGTATCAAGATTGAATGCTACTTTAAGGTCTTCTGTTTCTTTAAGTTTATTAACAATTTTTGGTTCCTCTCTACAATAGCTACAAGTGATAAATTGTATATTACAAAATATCCGAAAGGTGATTGTTAACACATAATGTTGATAAAAAATCATTATTAGTATCTTAACTAATCAATAATGGTAAAATATNACATAATGTTGATAAAAAATCATTATTAGTATCTTAATTAATCAATAATGGTAAAATATAACTTCTTAAAAAGAGTAATTTTTCAAAACTACACTATAATAAATTTTAGATATTTTAATGTATGATTTTATTTATATAAAAATTTATAATACTGAACAATATTTTAAAAAAATGTGTGTTTAAACAGTTAATAAGTGATTTAGTGTCACAATATTAATTTAAACATAACTTTAGACTTAGTATTCAAAAAGATTAATTGTTTGATATAAAACATTAAATATTCAGAAAAATATAAATTTAAAAATAATAACTACGTCATAATATCTAAAGCTGCCTAAATATTAAAGCTATAAGCATTACTATAACACAATTATAGAAATTTTTACCATTTTTTAACAGTAAATTTACGTTTATATTGTTTAAAATGAGGTTCAGCAATAATTTAATTTACGAATTAAATCTTATATGTAACGCGTAATCCAATAATGGCACGGACGCGAAGGTTGGTGACGTATGGTTTACATAACTGTACAAAAAAAAAAAAATCGTATAGTCATAATTTATTAGCAGATTACACTACTGACAGAGTAGTCACACAACTGTAGGAAAATTAGCATTATTATATAATTAAAATGGCAAATTACACTACGGACACTTGAGTCGTAAACCACTTGAGTCGATAAATGGTGTGTTTTATAATACACCATGTCTCCGACCGTAAAATTTTTTACTACGTGTTTCGCCGGAATGTTAACTACTATTTTGGCAGTCTGCTGTTCAGGTGATGGGCGGCTATTGTTTACATTGTCGGCAGTCGCTGTGTTTACATATACGACCGCCCAGTCACCAGGTCGTTTCGCCTCTCGTCCGAGTACGAGTACGGAAGGTGGATAACCGGTTTTTTCATTAAGACGGTTACGCAACGCAAATAGTATTTTTAAATCCCAATGGTTGTAGCGCCCACCTAGTTAATTTTGAATTGTTGTCCTTTGCTCTGTTTAGCCAAGTCAACGCGGAATTATCCGTAAATAATTCGAAAGGAGAATACTCCAAGTACGGGCGAAATTTATCAGTCGCGCATATTTGCTAAGCAATCTCGCTCTACGGCGGCGTAACGTTTCTGTGTTTCCGATAGTTTCTTACTGACGTAGGTTATGATTTTTTTCGCACCCGGTTCATCATCATGACAATACTAATTAAATATGCCGAGACATCTACATAGGTCCCTGATGTTCCGTGGTACCGATAGGACGCAAATAGACTCAAGTTTTTTGGGCTGCTCGTCTATGCGCTCACTATATACAATATGCCCCAAAAAGGAAATTTCAGAAAAACCTATTTTACACTTTTGTGTGACATATCAGTCCGTGTCGTTCTAGACGTTTTAAAACTTTGCCTAAATGTTCTAAATGATTTTCTAAACTATTTGAATAAATAATTATGTCGTCAAAGTAAACTTGGACAAAACCATCCAAGTAACCTCTAAGTACTTCATTCATAAGTCTTACAAACGTCATAGTCGAATTTTTGAGTCCAAATAGTAGTACACAAAAGCCGAGAGTCGTGTATATCTTTGCCCCTCTCATGTTTCTAACCATGTCGTTTAGATTAGGCATGGGGTACGCGTCCGAGACGGTTACTTCGTTTAGTCGTCGGTAATCTATACATAAACAAAAAGTCCTGTCCTTCTTCTTGGCCAGTACGATCAGTGCTGACCACAGCAATACACTCGGTTCTATTATAGCCCTTGTGCATCTATATCGTTTACCATATCGTTAATAATCTCCTGCTTGTGCAGGGGGTAGGGGTACGGTTTTAGCACGATAGGAATCGGGTCTTTCAATAGAATATCGTGCTCGATTAACTCGTCGCTCGCCACAATATCGGCACAGGGTTGGCGGCGTGTCCGCGTTTGCATAACCTGCTCGCTGTCGGAACGCTGGTAGAGCGTAACAAGGAGCCGCTATCTTATTTACGTCGTGCGCTATCTCATGAAGATTGGCGAAAGACGCTGGGTGCATTAACTGTATCATAGCGTGGTAATCGTCCTGTAAAAGCCCCGTTAGCTGTTGCACAAGTTGTTGTTCCAAAAAAACCACAACGTATTCGCTCGGCCAAACGTTGATTATGAATAATAGCTCGGTTAACATTTGCCAGGGGCCCTGTCACGTTGTTTTTAAGTTCGTCTTGAGCGCAGTCCAGATGTCGATTTTGACGAAATCCTTTAGTTATTCGGGCCTAAATTCCGTCCATGGCATATTATTTAACTTAATGGCTCGCCAACAATCACCTGCCCTGTCGTTCAAAAACAGAATGACGATGTTCACCCACGCGGTTGGGTGTATACCGCCCTGACAGAGTAGATCCTCCTCTTTATTTTTCTATTTAACAACACTCCGGTTTAGATTCCTTTCGGGGAACCAGTTAACGCGTAATCCAATAATGGCACGAACGCGAAGGTTGGTTACGTATGGTTTACATAACTGTACAAAAAAAAAAAGAAATTATATAGTTATAATTTATTAGCAGATTACACTACTGGCAGAGTAGTCACACAACTTTAAGAAAAATTATTGCATTATTGCGGACCACCCTGGAACTATCGTTAGGTATTACTTCAGGACGGCCCACGCTGTCTCTAAAACTCACACCACCACGTTGTGAATCAGCCCGAAATTAATCAAGAGCTGATTCACAACGTGGTGTAGACTCCCCGTTGCCCAGGTTGCACCAAGTGGGGGTGGGGCAGGACTTTGTGAGGGGGCAAAAATAACTCACAAAAACATAAAACATAAAATCACGAATACCTAAGGCGCCTGCCTAAACCAGAGCTTCAGGTCCTCCTGTGCCGAGCGGCGTGGCTGCCTCTGTCTCAGGCGTTCCGCTTCCTCCTTCATTAATAAGACGGATTCGGCGAACACCTAGGCTCCACGCCTCCCGACTCCTCAACATCAGGTCCACCATGGACCCGACTCGGAACGTGGAACCTAGAGTCCCGCTCCTGGGCCCACACCTCGCACCGGAAGAGAGTGTGCAGAGCGCTATCAGCCTCTCCCAGGCGATCCGAACAGTGGTCGCACGTCGGCACGGCTGCTTTACGAATACGTTGTATATACTCTTTAAGCAGCCGTGGCCGGACATCACTTTCGTGAGACGATAAGACATCTCGATGTGAGTCCGGTCCAGCCGATCGGGCACTATGAGGGAATTGGTCCACTCGGCTCTCGTCGTTTCCTCCGAGAGGCGAGTCCGCCACCGGAGCATGGTCATCCGCCTGAGCGCTAGTCGGTTCTCGGGTTCGAGGGACCGGTTGCGCTCTCGGCGGAGCTCATGCCCGGCCGCGCGTTCCTCAGCGAGCAGGTCAGTGGGCGGCAGTGACGACAGGATACCCACCGCCACTCTGGACATCGTTTGGTACGTCGAAACTGTCTGGATCGCCGCCCGCCTCTGAACCTTGAGCATGGCGTCACGGTTTTTAGATGAATATTCAAGAGTATCCGTCCAAACTGGAGACCCGTACAGGAGTGTACGACGCTGACTAAAAGTCTGCGCCGCATCTCTCTCGGCCCAGATTAGGCATGAGTCCCACCAGACAATTCATGACTTTCTGGGCCCACAACGAGTAATGTGCGGCCCGAACTTTAGACGTTTATCTATGACAATGCCCAAATAAGTCATGGAGTCCTTAAGCAGGATCTTCACCCCCAGCACGGCGAACCATGGAGGAGTGAACTTGTACCTGCCCGTGAACGAGACCGCTTCGGTCTTGTCCAGGGCGAGGCTAAGTCCGCTCCCCTTCTGCTGGATCCAGGCGGAGACTGCGCTGAGCGCGTAGTTCGCATGAGATCCAGCCTCCTCGGATGAGGCGCTTTCCGCCACCACTAGCAGACGACGCGCAGGTGCGGTGGTAGCGGAACGCGGAACACCGTGTCGTACGCGATTTTCCACAGCAGAGGCCTGAGAACTGACCCTTGCGGGGCGACTCTCGTAATAGCTCTGAATCTCAGGCCCACGGTGCTCTCGTAAGAGATGACCTGATCGCTAAAGTACGACCTAAAATTGAATTTATAAACGTTCTAAAGAATTACTCAATAATATAATTGAAAGGTTACAAATATAAAAAAAAATCAAACTAATTGACCGCAACGAAAAATTTGTAACTTTCATGGCGTTTTACAAAACTATAAGAAAAGGGTCGCCTACCTACTGGGCGAGACAGAGTATTATCGGACCACAGTAGGATTTTAAAAAAATTAACTTTTGTACATTTAAACAATTAGAAAAAATATGTAATTAATAAATATTAAAGTTGATGTCCGTTGAGTCGTTGATAGTAGATGTACACCAAAACCTTGTGACAGTTGTCACATAACCATATTAATGAGGGATGACCTTATACAAGGCCGTTGCCCGTACCTTATAAACTAAGGGGAGATGATTTTTGAAAGGGAAAAAAAATACACGAGTCCATTGAAGATGGAACACGCAAAAAAAATATGATGGTTAAGTTAAATT